GCAGATGAACTAAGATTGTGAATAGGAAAAGGCTTTTCCAGCTTGAGAAATTATATTTTTTTAAAGTAAATATAGCTTTTTGCTTTATGAAGTTCACATCTATTGTAAGAGTAACCTGGGAGGCAGAAGTACAGACTTTTGGGGGGGGGGGGAGGAGAGAGGAAGTGATTTTTTTCCTTTATCTTATTTTTTTTGTGTTCACCTTTGTTCTTTAAACGTAGTTCTTTCTACCTGTCCATCAACACTGTGAAGCTAGAAACATAAAAAAAAATTCCTACAGCAAGATTATTACTGCAGTTTATTTGTTCTAGAAAAGGTTGCAATCTGAGCAGTTGCGTTTCAGTCAAACTCTACTTAAGAAGCTAGTGAGAGTCTTAGCTTTCAAATAAACCAGTCGGGCAGCACTGAATCCATCCTGTTTGTCAACAGAAAATGAGTTACTGTCCATGCTCTTAGGAATAGTTAAAAATAAGCAAAGTCGTATTGATACGTTATCCTGTGTGATTTTGGGAAGGAGTGTGTCTAAAATGGGCTTTATTGTAAGGGGTGCTTTTTATTTTACTGTAATTTTGTACAAAACATTTTATATACTTTTTAAAAAAAAGTTTTTCAAAGCTTGTAATATTAAGAAGTGCTATCTGCAAGAATAAGCCATGCTTGTGGTATTTTTGAAACTATCAAGGAAACAAAATACAAATAGCAATGACAAATAATTACATAGCATACACTTTAAAGGCTTTTGCATTTAGTGTGGAACTACTGCAGCTTTCATTTGGAACCTTACATAATCAGCATTACTACAGGTAAGTAATTTTTGTCTGCTTGTTGTTTTTGGACAAAGATGAATTTTTGACTCTAAGAGGCAATATATACTCACTTGGTAAATGCCCTTTGATGAAACATGAGATAGAATTTAAATAGCATCTCTAAGTATATCTCACTGATAAATAACTGTGACATACCAAGTCCCATTTTTACCTTCAGTTTGTGACACCAGCTTTTCATAACATTATAGTAGTGTCTGTTTTCAGTATTAAGAGCTTTTAAGCCTCGGGTAAGTGAAGCGGGAAAATGTATCATTGTATATTTCTTCGAATATAGTTTGTGGTCAAATATATAGAGATGTTATCAGTGATTGCACAGGAGTGCTTTGATTTTGCACCTTTCCTACCTGCTGGAGCACTTTAGTTTGGATAAGACTTTAGAGCTGTACTCTTAAAATACTTCCTTAAGCAAGCTGCTTAAAGGTTAATCGTGCCTATAGGCAGGTGCTTATTTCACAAAGAGAGCAGTACAGAGCATGTAATTGATCATACCTGGTTTAGTGGCACAAAGGATGAGATGGAATTTACTGTACTAGGATATTCTTCCCTGTTGGTTAGTTTCAGAAATAATCAGTTTGTATGAGCACTGTCCTTTGAAAGTGAAACATTCTTCCCTAAAGCATGCCATTCACAGTTGCTTGCTATTACATGGATGATGAAACAGGTATTTAACATGAATAAAAAATACATAAAATTATAGAAAAATAAATGGATGTAAAAATCAGGTACCACAATCAAAATTTAGGATGCTGTTTTGTTTTTAATACTACTTTCCTTTTTTACCCAACTATGACATTTAAACCATCACAGTTGCCTTGTAGTTTGGACAAAAAGTACCATTGTAATTTTGACTTAATTCCCCCACCCACTCTTTTGTTGGACAAATGCATTTATTACAGTTTATAGGCCACAAAAATGCACCATTATGGGTTTAGAATGTTGATCCTTTCCTACAAGTTGTGTTAGTATCCTGCTAAGCTGTTAAAACAATCCCTGGCATAATACAGAATTCCCTGGTTTCAATTGTTCACAACTGAAAACTAATATGTATTAAGACATGCATCAAAGATCAGGAGTTGTTCTTGTATAATCTCATATATGGGTTATCTAAACCTACTATAAGGGCACTGCATATCTGTTTATTCTACATTCAGGCATTCTTGAACTGCAGTTCTATTTTTGTGCTCTATCTGGAAAACAATAGCATCTAATGCAACAAAAAAATTTCTAGGCATGTTTGAGATTTATGTAGGCATTAGTTTTAATACTTTCAAACTGTCATAATGATTTAGGTCAATTTAGGAAAACTAACTTGTTTATATTCTTTCCACTCCCAATTTTAGACATTCAAAGATATTCAGATATTCAAACAAGAATCTTTTAAACAGCATTTTTTTTTTTCTTTCCAGAGATGCTTTGTGAGTGTGTGGGGTTTCTGTTTGTTTGGTTTTTTTTTTTTTTTTGTTTTGTGGTGGTTTTTTTTTGGTGTTTCTTGTTTGGTTTGTTTTGTTTAATGTAATTCTTAGCATTCTTAGTCTCTTATTTCTGTGTTGGTTACAAATTACAATAATTCTCCCCTTTAAGTCAGGAAAATAATTTTGGATTTGATATTTAAGATACGATTTTCCTGTGAAGTTAAAATATATGGGTGTAATATTTGCTTAGTATATTTTTGGAGGTTAGTTTATATCTTTTTTTTGCTAGTATTAGCAGCCATCCTTAAAGTAACCCCAGTATAGAGAGTATACAGTATCTCTTATCTGTTGTTTACTTGCTGTTCTACTCAGAAAAAATATCTTCATTAGTGTAGGATGTGGATTTGGATTTTTCTTATGGTGGGTGTTGGTATTTCTTCAGATTGGAACTTGTGTCTGTCTCTCAGTCTCAATAATGTTAAGAATTCCATGCAGGATCATGTCTGCACAAAGGAATTTTCCTCTTTTTCTTGAGACTAAGTTTTTTTCTTAATGTGTAGATGGTAGTCCTTATAGTTTGTGATTAAAGAGAAATACCGGTAAGTATACATACATAGTTATTTCTCTTATATTTTATGAGACGGTCTATAAATGCATTTCCCTACTTCTAATTTAAAACAAAACAAAATAAAACCGCATCCACTCATAGTTTTTTAGATGGCCAAGGATGGACTAGTCATAGGTACATTTGTAGTTAGGAAATACCTAGGCATCTGGCTTATCCTTTGAAATTTTGAAGGTTCCCACTTTATGTTATCTTCTACTGAGACTGGACTTTTAATTAGTAGTCTATGAAATCTGCCAAATCCATGGAAGGTTGTAATAAAAATGAAACTTATGCGATAAGACTACAGAGAAATGCTGTATAATTAATTTCTTTTTCCAATCTGTATTGTTTTTCCTTCCTGCAATTGTAGGAATGCCAGTCATTGCATTTGATTATAATGGTTTTCTGTAGAAGTGTCTTAAAATAGATTATATGCTCAAATATGCAGTGCATGATGTCAGATTAAAATACATTTCATAAAGTCATATGGTAGAACTTGCATCTGATTCTTAAGGCTTCTTGGAAAAATGCTTTCACCCCTGAGTAGAACTCTTGTTCTAAATATCTTTCTAAATTCGCAGCTGTGCTCTGTGGTCCTGATCACGAGCACTTTCTTCAGGCAAATTTCCAGAATATTAAATCAGAAAATTTTTCAACAAATGCTTAAGTACCAAACCACTGGCAACAAGGATAGCGTGAGTTCTATTATAAATGGTTAATGAACGTATAGCAATATACTTCTGTCTGTCTCTTCATAAAAATAGTAGTTGATGTAGGATTCACTTATGTCTTAAATTTTGTATATTTTAGTGAGGAGCTTGGGGAGTGTTTAGTTTTCAAGCAGTGCTAGTTTGGCTCAGATACTAAAGTGCAGATAATACTGTTTAGAACCAATTGTACTTGGTTTGGGAAGAGACACAGGGGTACTTGATACAGTTTTGTTCAATGTTCATAGTGTATTCAAAAGTTTTGTATTGTGTAAAGGCTTCTAAAGAATTAGAACTGAGGAAATCAGTTTCTCCTTTTATTTTCACTGTCTTCCTCTTGTCCTGAATGCTACACCTTTTTCTTCATTTCTTCTGTCTTTAGGATTATTGTTACATGTGAATCCATACAGACCATTTGGCATCCTTCTAGGAGAGGCATGATTTCCTTTCAGGAGCAGTGTGTGGGGAGCATTCCTTCCAATGTCTGGAGGAGAATGTACGAATGTAAGAATGCCTTTGATGGATGAATCAACACTAGAAAATGTGCAAACTGCTAGTGTGGACCTCAGTAGTTTTGGTTTTTTTTATTTGCCTTTTCTACTTTCCTGTGCATTGTTTTCCTTCTGCCTTTGAACCACCACTACATACAGAAGGGAACAAGTTCAGCAGTTTTTTTGTAAATTGAAAGAGCTATGTTCTCTTAAAATAGTATTAACAGAAACTGGGTTATGGTCCAATGTACTTAAAAGTTGGTTATGCAAACGAATGAGGCTTTGTTCCCCATTTCTCTAATGTGCCTTTCCTGAAGAAGTCCTGTCTGTTGCAGTATAGAATAATGCCTAAGGATTTGGGCTTCCATGGCTGCAGCATTCCCGAGTTGTTTGTTAGAGGGATAAAAAGACAATATTTAAAAGTAGGGCAACATTTCATGTGAGTGATAACGTGTTTGAAGTTACGATTAAAGTGAAAAATTATGAAAATAGAAAATATTGAAGCATTGTGACACTAGTACATGGAGAATAGCTTAGAGCATAATTTCAGATTCAGTTTGACACCCTAAACCAGCAGGCCTTTCAAGGCTGTTTTGCTTGTGTTTTGTCCTGATATTTGCTTCTGCTTTGCCCTGGATTCTAGCACTATGCTAAGATTGCTGTGTTCAGTATTTAGCAATCTGGACATGCTGGCTTTCTTTTGCAGTGCAGCACATCTTTCATTCTTTCTATCAAATTCTTGGTAGTGTATTGGGTATTTTTGGAATCACTGCCTGAAGAGTTAACTTCCTTTGGTCTTTGGCAACAAGCTGACATTGTCATAACTGCTCTTGGGTTCCGATTATTGCTACAGAAGATTTTGAGAGAAGAATTAATTAATGATTTTATTTGCAATAAAAAGGTTTATAGTACTGACATAAGAAAATTATTCAGCTAAAATGTGTACAGAATGCTGGTTTCTTTTTTTTCTCCCTGTGACTTCCTAGGTAAATGCTTCTGAAAGTACTGCCAATGCAGCTGTCTTTTGGATGGTTTCCTTCTTGCCAAAGTTTCAACTGCTAAAGACAATTAAAATAGGAAGAAAATATGTTATTAAATAAATAGTTAAATCTTTGACTGTAGCTTGAGGTGTTCTTCTTGCATTCATACTACATCTATTATAAAAGCATGGTTTGCAAGTGGAGGTAGAGGCAGTTCTTGTAGTTTTTACCCAGGACTCAGTGATACTAATGGGAGTCTCTCCACTGGCTTCAGTGGCCTCTGGACTTTCACTATTTTATTTCTTTTCTGTGTTGTTTTTGTTTTGTTTTGTTTTGTTTTTTTAATACCCCTCAGTAACTTGAACTTTTTCCTTAAAGAAACAAATGTTTGTTTCACAGAGGGTTTGGAGGGTCACCTTCCTGGAGAACAGGCAGTTCTACTTAACAGCTGTGGGTATAATTAGAAGAAGCATTGTGTGTGCTGCATAAAAACACTGTCTTCCACCCTGGGGAAAGTGGGAGTTGCTGTGGAGTGACTCCAGTCTGCATTGGTGTTTCTGTTCATCCATCTGGGTTTTAGTCTTGGCATTGGGAAATGGATATTGTTTGAGGTTTTCTTTGTGCATCTTTGTTAGGCACGCAGAAATGCAGTAACGGAAAATCTGTGGTGGTTTTGGTTTTGTGTTTTTTGTGTGGCGGGGGAAGGTGGGGAGGGTTTGGTTTTGTGTGGTTTTGTGTTTTTTTGTTGTTTTTTTTTTTTGTTTTGTTTGGTTTGTCTGTTGTTTTTGTTCTTTTGGTTTTTTTTTTTGTCTGTTTGTGTTTTTTCCCAAAAAAGTGATATTTTTAACAAACTTGGTCTGGGGATGCTTTTAGAGGTAAATTAAGGTCAGTGAACATTTATAACCTTAGATTTGCTCATTATTTACTATTTTAACTCTTGTTTTATCATTGGATTTAGTCTACAGACACTTTATTTATTGGGAATCTCTTAAAAATTACATTCTGAACTTTTTTCTGAATGTCAGACTGAATAAATCAGTAATTTCTAGTAGCTTCAATAAAACAATATATATATAAAAATAACATTTTCATATTATATCTTGTTGTCCAAAATAATGCTTGCATCCTTGTGTTCTGAAACCTGTGTTCTGGTTTGCTTCCCTTCTATCCTTTGTTTTCTATTCGGAGTCTCTAGCTGGCATTTTAAAATAAATCCGATAATTTTAAGCATTACATAGATTCCCTGTTGCTGTCAGATTGCAGCAGTAGGATTTAGGATTATGCTCAAAAGAAATACACTGGAAAATTTTCCTTCATATTTAATCTGATATGCCTGTGCAGTGTTGTAGACATTGCGAGCAAGCTCAACATGCCCTGAAAGCTGGTTAGACATGAGCCAGCTCTGATCAAGAAGTCTTACTTTCATTATCTCAAGAAGTTTTACTAATGCAGTTGGTTAGATATAGCAAGCTTAAGAACAGTCAGATATGACCCTTTTCATTTAGTCAATTTTTGACACATTGCTGTGGCTGATAATGCTTTAAAGAATGGATACCACATTTATTTAGTACTTTTTTTAAACTTCATGTGAAGCAATTTTTGGATGAAGATAAGAATTTTGTTGAAAAAATACAGTTAAGTTTTAGGATACCTTTAATAACAGTTTTAAACAGAAAAACAGAGCCCATGTGCCTTTATTTACTAGAGAACTTGCTGTTTGTAATTAAATAATTTGCCAAAATTATTTCTGATCCTGATGGTATTTGGGATTTTTAGGGCTACTGAGACCCATTAGCACATACTGTTTAATTCTTGTTATTTTAGTTCAGTGTTTTTTTTTTAATAGATTATAAGTACACTAGTAAGGACATAAGTTGTGCATAACTTCAAAGTTCTAAGCAGCTCTGTAGAGGTAATGAGATTTAATTTGCATTCTTTTTGACAGAGAAGCTTTCAGCCTTTTCAGTTCTGTGTAACTGATTATCCTGTTTTGTTCTTGCTGTACTCCCTGTCTTAGACCTCATTTTTAGTGCCTTACTTCACTGTATTTTTGCCAGTATTCTTTACTTTGTCTATGCAGCTTACTGTAAAAACTGTTTCAGAGGAGAAAATACAGGTTATGTGAATAGCAAAATAAGTAATTTTAAGTAATTTTATCAAGTAACAAGTGTCTAAATATCATTTGTGGGTTGGAATTGGAAAACACTTCTAAACACTAGTGAATATGCCCTAACAAATCAACCAAGGAAAGAAACTGCATAAAGAGTATGGAATAACATGAGGCCTCCAATTCCAGATTTTTCAGTGAAGGATGTACTGCAGATGTTTGAAATAGATGAATGTAAATTGAAGAAACAAGGAAAAAGATACCTTGCTATTTGCAGCTGAACAAAAGACTTCTTCTAGATTATGATAAATACACAGCCTACCTGAATTTCTTCTTGTAACTGAAGTTATTCTTAGCTTTCTTACTATGAAGAGGAATAGATATCTATTTCTTAGCCTAAAGATAGGTTAAGTAGTCTATGTAGGTAAAGGGTTTTTTGTTTTTTGGTTGGTTTTTTTTCTAGTTGCTTAGCAAATGCCTTTAAATACTTGGGAATGAAAGCTATATTAGGTTTTATGTATCAACCATTTGAAGTTTAATAGTGAGTTTAGCCTGTGTAGGGGAACTAAGAGCTGGATAATTATTAGATGGTTGGGAAATGCAGTGAGATTATATTACATCATCTCTCCTGTAGTATTTTTAGCATCCAGCTAAATGGTAGTTGGAGGTAGCTATAAAACTAATTTCCTTAGCCCTTTTCTGGGGGCATCAAGTCCAGCAGTGGTCTATATCCTCTTATTTCTGCGTTGTAGTGGTGATTATTTGTTTCGAATGCATGATCTGAGTGTGCAGTTAACTTGTGGCTTATTCTGAGGCAGTTACTGATAGTGTTTAAAAATGTTACCAATGTGTTTTAACAACTTCTGTTACTTTAACAAGAGTCTTATTTTGTTGATATTGGTACCACAAAGGTGAGATTTTGAGGTATGATTAAAATAATCCTCTTTTAAAAACAAGGGAGAGAGACTCTGTGTTCAAGGTTGATCTCACTTGCTTATCTAACAATCTACTTGTATCTGTGCTAAAAGGAAACAAAATCTTTCAGGCTGTATAGCATGTCTGTATTTTGCAGAGAGAAAGATGAGAGACTCAAAGATTTTCTATTTTATAGGTTTTTTTTCCAGTTGTAGCTCCTGTCTGGCTTCTAGTACAACATAAAACAGTGTTTTGTTGGCTTCAACTCTTTCTGGAAGCCTCCTAGTCCTTCTGAAGTAGGAGAGGAGGAAAGATGATGTTGCATGTGTTCTTCCTTTCCTTAGGAATCTCTGTAAACTCAATAAATCAGAAGGTAGCTGCTTAATCTCGCCTTAAGACAGCACACTGTGCATTTGACTCTAGGTTCTTTGTGCCCTCCAGTTTACTACTTCCAATTCTATATGCATCAAAAATACCTGATTATGCATTAAAAATACATGTTTAGATGCTTATAAAAACTGAGAGAATGCCTTAAGTGTTCTTAAATAGAACCCTAAATATTGGTATTTTGTATTAAAAAGTAAGGTAAATCAGGTGTATACCACAGATATGGAAATGTGATACATAGTATGTAATCTGTAGCATGCTGAAGAGTAGTTTGTGAACTTTAATTATATCCTGCCATTATATGAGCTAGCAGGGCATACTATTTATAGAAGAAATGCGTTACATAAAACTGGTATAAATGAAAGCCAAGCAAGTGTTCTAAGTTGGTATGACGTGATTAAATATTTTCAAACCACCAGTGCTAAATAGGATTAATAAATAATATAAATCTTACCTATTTTAACCATCTTAACCTGTTTCCTGAGGAATGCCATTCTGGGACCCCCAAAGGACATAAACAGATTTTTTTTTTTCTTGAGAGGTCTGTACTGAAGGGTTCCATATGTATTCATCTTCCCACACATTTTTTCATATTTCCATTCTCTTCATTTCAGGAGGAAAAAAAAAGTAGCCTTATCTTTGTGAGCCACAGGAAAGTTACCTAAGGGTGGAGACAGTGATGGTTTATACTGTCTGTATTTACTAGAAGAAAGGTTTGAAGGGGCTGAACAGCCATCCTCGCTTTGGTGATCTATCTTTAGACTTGAAACAGTTCCTAGAAAAAAGGTTGGAAAAGGTTGTCAGGTCTGTGACCTTTTAGGCTAATGAATACAGTATTTCTTACTCCTTTGACAGCAACATAGGTACAGATGCTGACATGATTATATAATCAGACATGATAATACAGAAGATGCAGTTGAAGCTATTGAGCTGGGTAAAATGGTACCATCTACATGAGATGATCCTAACTGTCCCATTTGCAAGTACCCAAACTAACAGTCTTTGAGCATTTTGCTGGCTGCAGAAAACACAATTAGCAGAAAAAGAAAAGGAAATCCTACAGTGAGCTTGCTGTGAATTATAATACTTAGATATCAATCATAGAATGATTTGGGTTGTAAGGGACCTTCAAAGGTCTTGTCCAACCCCCCTGTAATGTGCAGGGATATCTTCAAGTAGATCAGGTTGCCCAAAATCACATCCAGCCTGGCCTTGAATATCTCCAGGGATGATGCATCTACCACCTCCCTGGGCAACCTGTGCCAGTGTTTTAGCACCCTCACTGTGAAAAAATCTTCATGTCCAGCCTGACTCTTCCCTCTTTTATATTAAAATCATCACTGTTCATCCTATCACAGCAGACCCTGCTGAAAAGTCTTTTCCCATCTTTCTTATAGGCCTCTTCTAAGTACTGAAAGGCTGCAATAAGGTGTCCCCAGAGTCTTCTCCAGGTTGAACAAACCCAACTCTCTCAGCCTTTCCTCATAGGAGGGGTGCTCCCACCCTCTGATCCATTTCTGTGGCCCTCCTCTGGACCCTCTCCAATAGGTCCATATCTTTCCTGAACCTTGGCTGTGCTAAGGCTAGGCTTCCTGTCATTCACACCTTTCAAAGGCCGGGAAAATCAAGCCACTATTATCTGTGTGTACACTTGTACATTAAATTATTATATCTGAGGCATCTGTTAAGGGCTCTCTTCTTGGAACAGACAAGTCTTTTCTGTCAGATCAGAGCTCTCTGCTTTTTAGTTGGCTGTATGGTACTCGGTTAAAAAGAGATTACCATTTGTCTGTACTTATCCTCCACAACTGTTATTTATATGATTATTTTCAACAAAAGTAAGAGGGTTTTGGAAATGAGAAATTTGTCCTTTGCATGGGCATTCAAGTGTTTGTGTAGTTTGGTGTTTGTATGGGTAACATGTTGACTAGTACCAGGAGGATAATGATGCTGAAAACTGTAAGCTAGTCAAGTGAAATATTCTAGGTTCTAGTCAGTATGCAAAAGAAATGCAGGCGCCCTGCTTTGTCATACCATCTCTATGTATTTCCTACACTTACATTCATTTATCTAGCAGCATCAGTATTTATCAAGCACCTAATTGCACATTCTGCCGGTCAGACTTTCACAGTTTGATAGCTTGATAGATTATTCCTGAAGCTTACAGAAACTGTTGTGCAAACCTTATTATCTAATGTAAAACTAAGGCCATTATTTCAGAGAGGAGGAAAAATCAAGCGAGTGTGTTTGATGTTACACTTCTGTGGCTTGTACTACAAGCAGAACTTAAAACCCATGTGGAGGCTTTGTCTGCGTGGCTCACCCTGTAAGGTAAGATTTTTTTTTCTTCTGTTGAATTTCAGGCAGGGGAGCAAAAACCACACACTTCACAGACATTCTATGGTATTGTTACACTGACAGGATGGCATGTTTCAAATTGGCCTTACGTCTGATATTGATGATTAGAGGGCAGTGTATAGGTGAAGACTAAATGGATGGCTCATTTGCACTACCATCTGGCTCAATAAGTTTTGCTTTGCTGTCAAGCAAGGCTTGCTGTGCCACAGACAGATCAGTCTCTCTGGTGTTTCTGTGAAATCTGTGTGCTGCTTTGTGCAGTGGTCTGTTTGCATTTGCAGTGAGTTTGGATGGAGGTTCACATTTTGTATTCAAAAGAGAAGTTCTGAATTATATTTTAGATTCATGTAGCTAGAACTTCTAATTCCAGTGATGTCAAATATGCCCCTTTACCTGAGTGCTGTCTTCATGGCACAGAAGTTGTCTTCAATTCTGGGGCTTGGGTTTTCTTTTCCTATTATCTACTGATAAGAAAAACTAATACTTCCCCTTACATTTGGAGGCTTGCCGTTTCCACCAAAATATTCTAAGTGATGTTGTTGCTAACAATGTTAGGGTTTTTTTCACCTCCTCCTGTCTGCTCTTCTAGATCGTGCATCAGGTTGACTGCATTTCAGTATTTGAAGTGCTGATCTGGTGCAGGGGGCTATAAGCTTATCGCTGTTACAGTGAAAAGCCTCAAAGAATGTACTGTGTGTGTCCAGGTGTTATAGTGTGGTGCTGCAGGTGCCTAAAATGAGAAAAATAGTAGACAAATTTTATTTGATAAAAAGGCAAAACTTAAGAGGATTCTTGCATAGAAGATAGCTGTATTAGTTGTTTGGCTTCAGGGTTAAGATGTTGGTTATGCAGTTGTTCTTGTTGGGACAGATGTTCTGCTGCAAAGCACTGTATACAGTATAGCAAGTTCTGAATTCAGGACTGGTTTAGTGAAGGAAAAAGGTATCTGTGTTCCAGTGGGTTTCACTTTGCTTTCCTCTTGATAGAACCCAGTGTGACAGAGAAACTGCTAGATGCTGGCAAATAATCCCTAGGTTTCAAACTATCCAGACAATAAACAACTCCATAATTTTCAGTGCAGCAGTTTCTCTAGAGCCCATCTGTTTCTAAATAACCCTATTTCTGCTTACAGTGCAGAATACTTTGTAGGCTGGAGATTGTCCTTATTTCCATGGTGGCCTGTGCAGCTCCAGTGCCAGCTGCTGGGTGAGCCAACGATGTCTCTGGACCTGGCAGGAGCACCCACCCACTGCTGGCTGCCTCCCTGCCAAGATATGGTGTAAGGCTCCAAGATGTCATTATTTAATCACTTTCTTGCTTGCTGATGGAGACTTATGCACATAATTAAATGTGTGAATTTAATATTGTGTCCTTTTGTTTCATTTCTTGAAGGAGGAGAGAAAGGTGGCAGAGTTGTAGCTGTCATCTTGAGCATCCTTTACTAAAACGAATAGATCTGCATGGGTTCCAAGTTGTATTATTTGTATTGCTCCTCAAGCATCCCTGAACTGCTTAAAGCAGCTCAGTGTGTAATGTTCTCTAGCTTTTTTGTTCTTCTCTACAAGATGCTTAGATCTTTCAAAACAGTGCTTCAAGTGTGAAACTCTGTTTATTAAAAAAATAAATAAAGCAGGTAATAGAACTTAAGTTATAAACCAGAAGTTTCTCTTAAGAACCAAAAGGATAATTAATGGGTGCAGAATTTTCGGTCCAAAGTCTCCAGTCTCCTATAAGGTATGGCTGATAGTCTTATATAATGATACATTTTTCTTTCTGCCTTTCTTGCATTTTTTTTAAATGGCTGTGTTAAACATGCCAGTAACTTAAATCCAAAACTTGGAACTTGACTGGAACAGAAAGAATATGACAAACTCTAGTTTATTGAGAGATTCCCCGTGTTAATAGTATCCTTCGACTTGAGAAGACATCTGCTCAGTATTTTTGTTTTTTCTGTGTTGTTTTAGTCCAAGAGTGCAAATTTGAATAACAATCTGAAAATCTGTGTTTGTTTTGGTGTTTTTTACCTAGTAAAAATGGTCTCATAGGTCAGCATAAACAGTTTCGCAATCATCTTTCCAAAATTGATGTTATGGTTACTGTACAAGCAGCTCCCCATGTAAATCTTGATGTAGATGAAGTGTTGAAGGAAGACTGGGAAGTGAGGGTAGGCAGATGCACTGGCAGTCCAAGCTGATGAGTTGTGTGTGACTGCTTTTCCAAGCGCAAAACATTCTCAGTTTTCTCAACTGAGAGATGCTGCTTCTTGATAGTGGGGAAAATAAATGTTAAAAAGTGAGGACAATCAGTGTTGTCACCTCCATTTCAGACTGTGTGTCTCTGAGTAATGAAATTCAAGGTTTTGATATACTGAGTAAACTTTGAACCAGTGCTTCGTGCATTATACATTATGCCTGTAGGGGACTGTAGGTTCAGAGTAATGTGCTGTAATGTATAACTGCAGTATTTTGGGCATATTTACTTAATATTTGGATGAAAAAGTTTATGGTTATTAAAGTTGTATCTGTATTGCACTAATGCAGGTTTAGTTAAACCAGTGGCAATTACAGACATCTTGTTTTGGTCCAAAGTCCTATAATTGTAAACTGCAGTAACAAAAAGCCTGCAAAACCCACCAGAGTGACAGGAAAGGTGTGGAGGATCTTGGTCTTCTTTATTCACAGAGCACAGTTCTAGTTCACAATAAAATTAATTTTAAAATATGCCGTGTAAGGGTTAGTGTGGTGTTCTAACTTTTTTGTACTATATTATTTGGTTTGATCTGTCATCTGGTGTTACAGCGGTTTTTGAAATACTTCAAATATAATCTTAAATTCCATTAGTCTTGAAATTTTTTTGCTGATGTTTCTTGCACAGAAGCCCAGGTGTTGGTTAGGTAAAAGTGCTAATTCATAAATATTTTTATTGTAATTAAAGTGTCAAGGGGCTATTTTGGGTAACAGGATAATTAAAAAATATATATGTATTAAAAAAAATGTATTTAAGCCTTCATATTCAGACAACTTCATTCTTCACTATTGTTTGAGGTAAAGTGTCTTCTTTTGAACGTAAAGCTTTTCAAAATACATTGTCAGTCTTTTTTTTTTGGTTCAACATAAAATAGCATTTTATGTCTATTTACAGCATCTGATTCTATTTCTAGTGATTATTAAAGCACATCTTATATTTGAAGTGTTGAGCGTATTTTATGGAGACTCTGCAAGTATTTGTTTTAACTGT